CTGATGCGAAATCTTGCACATAGGAGGGTTTTTATGCGGCTTAGTTACCACGTAAACTAAGTACAACGTGTTCTTATACAACGAGAACAAAGTCAGCACTGTTAGAACACATTTCAAAAAAGCTCTGGGCAAGCTTCAGTCAATTATCAGAGTACTGAACGCAGTGCATAGTTTCCAACATGTTACTGCTAACTTTGAAGTGTTGAAGAACCTGCGCTTACAACTGGCGCTTTCTCTTGGTCTTTCAGTAAGGAAGTATACTGCAATTACCTAGCAAAACGTTACTTAATGAGTTAAGTCAGTCTCGTTCGAGATAGTCTTTTTTTCTCAGTCTTAAGCTCTAATTTACCTTACTTGCGGATGTACCATGGTTTGGTGATGAATTGAGTCTGTTCACTAATTGATCTATTGCCGATGTGATACCATCAAGCTTCTAAACATAATGATTAATGAAAAGTTAGCTTGCGAAAACATTATTTACCTTACTGATTTCTCCTAATGTATTTTGTAGAGGTGCCACTATAACTTGCGTATCTGATTTTTTAAATATTCAGAACTTCCTAAACGTTGTATTATATGTAAACTTACTGTTTGTGGTTCCTTGCACAGACGCTGCGGTGAAGTGCAATAACATAGTGGTGGCACATATATGGAGCATCTAAGTGAGCTGTCCTAAAATTAGCAGTACAGTATGAAACAAATGACTCATCTATCTTCAGGAAACCTTTTTATGTTTGAGCTCACGGAAGTAGCAGCCTATGAATCACGGTGGTTTTTCGAAGGCCCTCCGCAATAGTAATTTCCTTTTTGAGAGAGAGTCGCACCGTTAGTCATCATCGGCGAGCAGGATGTAAGCCAAGTGTTGGAATGGGCATGTTAAGTGCTAATGTTCAGCCTCCGGAGATATTATTCTAACCTGATATTCATTGATTAATAATTTCTTTGTTCGGTCTGTCTCAAAGAAAGCTAGGGTAATGGAGTGTTTTTCTGATTTTTTGAATATCTTATTTTCTGAATTGTGCAGGTTTTGATTGTGCAAAGGGGACGTAGAGCAAGCACAATGTGCTGCAAAATTTTGTTTATTTTGAAACAAGACAACTTGCTTAACTTACGTTGTGATCGTATCCTACAATGAATTAAAAAGGTTCATTTTCCAAATTGTTGTTGCCATCCAGATTGTACTAGAAACAAATTTAAGTGATGGCGCTCTGTTTTCAAATGGCGCTTGTTCTGTTAATTAGCCCCTCCCTAGTACACTCTACAATTTATGAACTC